AGCTAGAAGAACTACTAGTCGCCCTGCCAGTGGACTTTCGACTTGAGCTCCCTGAGTTGTTCTCGTTTCCGCCGGAGGAGCCGGAGGGCGAAGCGACCCCTACCGTGTCAGCCATCTAAAGAGATGGCGAAAACTCGAAACGAAACAAAAATTCGGAAATAAAGAAAAAGTAATAACAAATGACAACTATTGAACAGGCAAAAACAAAGAGGCCTTACTTGCTCAACGGCGCAGAAGCGAAGCGTCACAACAAGGCGCGAAGCGACCAGCCGAAAGCTCTAGATGTTTCAAGCAGGATAGTTGAGAGCAGAGCAAAGCAAGCGCGACTCAAGCCAGCGCGCGCGGGGGCTTATATAGCCGGTCAACTGAAGGCCAAGAGGCGGGGCATGGAAACCAAGAGGCCCATCAACTAGCCGTTACCCCCACGCGTCGCGTCGATTCACGTTCCAACCAACAGGAAAAAATAAAATAAAATTTAAAAATTCCGATTTTAATAAAAGTAATGCCCGCACAACAATAAAAATAAAAATAAAAAAGTTAATCAGTTCACTGTTTCGCACCTTGGGGGAAGGCGGTAACGAGATACGGCGTCCGCTTTCGACACAGGCGGTGAAAGGGGGCGCCGAGGGGCTACTGTTAGGGGTGGCATACGGCTTGGGACCCCAATTGCGCAAAGATGCTTTCGGCCATCGTTTCGTCTGCCGGTATCTCCATCGACGAAACCGCCGGCGGAAGAAGACGACGATTTACGCTCGGATAACTCGGAAAGGCCGGGGAGCTTTTGATTGGCATTTCGTCCGCCGATACTTCCATCAATGAAGCCATTGGCGGAAGGAAATGTCAGGTTCCCACCATTTTGCCCCGGTACCGATTGATCCCAGGGCGGTACCGATATCAAAAGGCGTTCGAAGCATTCGGCGTACCCTAAACTAACTGGTTTGGAACAGGGCGTTGTTTCATAGGTTTTTGGTCGCTTTCGGTTTCTTTCGGAATCGGCGAGGCCTAGAACAACCCCGGCAGGAGCGGTGGGTCCTGGAGTTGGTGACCCATCAAGGGGGAGGCGTCCTTCAAAGGAGTCCGTAAGCGGCTCGGACCAAAAGCACCCGCAGAAGGGGGAATATGCTCGGGTACCGTAGTAGGTAGGAGGGCATTATTGTCCATGTAAAAGATACGGTCATGTATAAATAGATCTCTGCAGGAGCGTTGTAAAGAGAGGTTGGAACCGTTGTTTTCATGATCGATACATTCTTTTCTTTCGTTCCGCCTTTGTGTTCCTTTCATTCGGAGTCACGGAGCTTTCGGCATCTTGAGCGGCAGCTTGGTGTTCAAAGGCCGAGGCCTAGAACAACAAGATGATTCAAAATTTAAAAGGACTTCATGGTTATAATGAAAAAAACTAGGTACATACACTATTTGTGCACATCATCTTGTTATTTCATACAAAATGTATAAAAAAATCCTGTAGTTTTATAGATTTTGAAACATGTTAGTTTGTGTACGTTTGAACTCAATTGTTACACTGCACACCCACCAGGTCACCGGAATCAGTCGATCACCGCACCACCACAGGTCCACAGCTGTCTATGCCTAGCAAAGCCACACAAGGAAGTCACAGGTCAATTTTGTCATGTTCCCCGGAAGAAGCTGACTCTGTTTTTGTCCCCGAGCTTGGGATCATCATCATGTACTACGTACAGGCTATAATTGGTTAGTACAGTACTACAGTAGTTGGGAGAACGCTGGCGGCTGGCGTGTGTCTTCTCTCTCTTTTGTCACTTGTGCATCGGCGTCTGAGAGACACGTAAGACCAGCTGACACCTGACGGCACTCGTGTCACTTTCCCCAGATAATACTACTACGAAGAAGAAAGAAACAACCTTGTTCACAGCTCGACACAACTTATTTCATGGGAGTGTGGATCTACTGATCTAGCGGACTTGACTTGGACACAACTTTAATTTCAAGGAAACTTGATCCATGTCCTCGACGTCATCCATGGCGCCGCTTGCCCACCGCATCGCGCTGCTCCTCCTCCTCGCCCGTTGCCTTCTCCGGTCACGCGCCGACGTCGACTTCATCTACAACGGCTTCCGGGATTCCGCCAACCTGAGCCTTGACGGCTCGGCGTCGGTCCTCCGTGGCGGCGCGCTCCGGCTCACCACCGACCGCGGCCACCTCATGGGCCACGCCTTCTTCGACCCACCAGTGCGGATGCTCAGCGGCGACGCCGTCGTCTCCTTCAGCACCGCCTTCGTGTTCGAGATCGTGACTGTCGGCAGGGGCGGAGGCGCCGGCCTCGCGTTCGTCGTGGCGGCATCGAAGGTGCTCCCCGGAGCAAGCCCCGGGCTCTACCTTGGTCTCCTCGGCCAGGACATCATGGGCAACTCTTCCAACCACGTCTTCGCCATCGAGTTCGACACGACGCAGGCGGCCGCGCTGCTGAACGAGACGAACGACAACCACGTCGGCGTCGACCTGAACAGCCTGGTGTCCAATGTGTCGGAGCCGGCCTCGTACTTCGCCGACGATGGCAGCCACGTCCCTGTGCCCCTCGAAAGCATGCAGCCGATCCAGGCCTGGGTGGACTACGACGGCCGCACCAAGATCCTCAACGTGACCATAGCTCCCGTGTCCGTGGCAAGTCGGCCTCGCCGGCCGCTCATCTCGCAGCCGGTTGACCTCTTGCCCATCTTCAAGCAAGACATGTACGTTGGCTTCTCGGCGGCGACCGGGAAGCTGGCGAGCTCGCATTACATCCTCTCATGGAGTTGCTGCACTAGAGGACTAGCACAGTCCATCGATCTCTCCCGGCTGCCGGAAGTTCCAAAGCCACCACCTCCTCCGCTTTCCAGATCCGCCGCCTTCAAGATCGTCGCGCTGTCCTGCGTGGCCACTCTTGCCGCCATCGTCGCGGCAATCGTTGCTGCGCTCTGGCTGCGGCAGAGGGCGGCGCTCGCCGAAACGCTGGAGGAGTGGGAGCTGGACCACCCGCACCGGTTCCCGTACAGAGAGATCTACAAGGCGACGAAGGGGTTCAAGAACAGCGAGCTTCTCGGCGCCGGTGGCTTCGGCAAGGTGTACAGAGGCGTGCTCCGGCGGTCCGGCGACGTCGTGGCCATCAAGCGGATCTTGAGCAACGGGTCGCAGGGGATGCGCGAGTTCGTCGCCGAGGTCGCGAGCCTCGGGCGCATGCGGCACCGGAACCTGGTGGAGCTGCGCGGGTGGTGTAAACGAGGGCAGGACCTGCTGCTGGTCTACGAGTTCATGCCCAACGGCAACCTGGACACGCACCTGTTCGGCCGCGCCGGCCAGCCCCGGCAGCTGCTGTCGTGGGAGGAGCGCGTCAGGATCCTCAGGGGCGTCGCCTCGGGACTGGTGTACCTGCACGAGGCGTGGGAGCAGGTGGTGGTGCACCGCGACGTGAAGGCCAGCAACGTCCTGCTCGGCGCCGACATGAGCGCGCGGCTGGGGGACTTCGGCCTCGCGCGCCTCTACGAGCACGGCGCGGACCCGGCCACGACGCGCGTCATCGGGACGCTGGGCTACATGTCGCCGGAGATCGTCGTGACCGGCAGGGCCACCACGGCCACCGACGTGTTCGCCTTCGGCGTGTTGCTCCTCGAGGTGGCGTGCGGGCGCCGGCCCATCGACCAGGCCACCGGCGTCAACCTGGTGCGCTGGGTCCGTGAACTAGGTGCCAAGGGTGACCTCGTGCACGCCGTGGACGAGGGACTTGAAGGCTGCTACGACTCTGAGGAGGTGAAGCTGGTGCTGTGGCTGGGTCTCATGTGCAGCCAGACGCGACCGGAGACACGGCCGAGCATCAGGCAGGTCTGCCAGTACCTGGATGGGGAGGTAGACATGCAGGAGGAGGCAATGATCGTCTTTGCAGACGACGATCCCATCGACTTCGGCTCGCTGGCGTCTCTGACATGGTCGTCGTGCGCGACAATATCAGCAGGCTCGCTACAGGGTGGAAGATGAATGCTCAATAACTTGACATGATCACCAATACTGACTAGGTGGATTCCTGTTATTATAATGTTATTAGGAACATTCTGTTAGTCAGAAGATGAGATGGTTGCGATCATAAAGGACAAGTAATGTTCAGTACTGTGCACTTATATTGGGCAAAGCTGGTTTCAGATACTGCAATTCAGAGCGACCTGATTGGCAACTTCAATCTTAAGTAACTTAGTAAGATCACAATAAAATATGTTTGAGATGTTACAATAGGGAAGTGATGTCAACTCAGATATACAGGGGCGTTCAAATAATTGTCTACAAAAATACAAGCTTAGATACATATAAGAATAGTTTATGAAATCAAGCGGTATAATACAAGCCTGGGTTCAGGCATCTGAAAAGGAATACAGACGCTGTTTGCTCTCACAAGCCCTAATAGAGTTGCTATTGCAGCAACAACCCATGCCCGTTTGCCCAACAAACCGCACGTAAATAATCGATGCACACTGACACAAGTTCTTGCGTCCGCTGGAGCTAGAGATCTTCATATGCCTCTAGCAGATAACTTATCCTGCACTCACACAAAGCCACAGAAAGGGGTGGGTTAGAGGACTCAACATCAGGAATAGAAATGTACTGATTTGATACATCAACATACATGTATCTGGAAGCAGGCGTGGATCAAAGAGAATATGCACTCAAAATGGCGAAGGAAACTAGTGAAGTAGCAAGAGAAACTTGTCTGAAGCAAGGTACCAAACAGCTTCAGCTAGTTCACATAGACTTGGACAGGAGGGCAGGACTAAATTTATTTCCCACAATGCTATGTGCATGAGTATTTGTCCTAAGGGTTCTGAACGAGAACCAATTTCCGAATCTAAATTAGTTAAGCTGGGCACATACCATAAAAGCCTTCATAAGTAAGAAGTCTAAAAAGCTATGCAGTTAAGACAAACTATACTCATTTAGGTGATTTATTATGTTGGGCAAGCCATTCTCAAGTGACAAACAAAAACAATACAGACCTTTTGATATTAGTAGGGAGGATCCGGGTTAAATGCTAAAGATTCCCTCCAGATAAGTTCTTTTATATGGACTTCTGTAAAGGATGGCTGCTCAAAATCAAAGCTGAAAGGTGCAGGGCAGGTAGGTTCTTCATTGATGTCATGAAGTGAAGCCAAGTATGGGTGATGCAGAGCCTCATCAACTGCAGAAGAAAAAAGGTATTTGAGTTTATAGTTAAGCCACCACTAATAAAGTGGCTTGCGTGAAGCCAGGTACCTGTAATCCGTCTGCTTGGATCAAACACAAGCATTCTCTCCAACAAATCGACTGCACCAGGAGACATGTTGCGGAAATGCAGGCGGAAGTCCTGCCTTGGAAACTGTGGTAGTTGTTTCATGTATCTTTTTGCATTATCACTTCGAAGGAATCCCAGGCTTGCATCGTCTGGTGAGCCTATGAGCTTTTGGAAGAGAAAAAACTCATTGATATTGGTTCCCAGATTACAGGATCACATTTTAATTTTAACAAAGGAGAAAGGTACTCAACGGTGCAGATTAATATAAGTTAATAATACTCCTACAATAATAGACCAAGATGTCTGTGAAAAAAATCAATAGGAGAGAGGAATGTTCATAGAAACAAGAAGTTAAGATAAAAAAAAAGGGCGTACCCAGTGCAGAGAGCTCCCGCTCTGTGCGGGGTCTGGGGAAGGGTGTCAGTGGCAAGCCTTACCCTCGCCTGTGCAATGCGAGGAGACCGCGACTCGAACCCGGGACCTTCCGGTCACAGGCGGTAAGACTCTACCGCTTGCACCAGGCCCGCCCTTCGAAACAAGAAGTTAAGATAAAACATTTTAAATGTTAAATCTGGATTTCTGATCTGGTAAACACTGCAAATTGTATTTTCTAAAAAAAATTAGACTTCAAGTTAAAATCACAAGTGACTCCTACTCAAACACACATAAAGGGGGAAAATTTCAGCACAATATAGGCATAAACAAGACAAGTTAATATCTTGGTTTTTCCAAATGAACCAATCCATTAATCACTGTATTGCACTAAGAGAAATGCTAGCACAAACAATTCATTATGATAATTTTACCTCAGTGATCAATTTTAATTGCTGGATGTAATCCCGTCCAGGAAACAGGGGTTGGCGAGTAACAATTTCACCTAGTATGCATCCAACTGACCAGACATCAATGGCAGCAGTATACTGCGAACAGTTCAACAGCAGCTCTGGTGCCCTGTACCAACGAGTGACCACATACTCTGTCATGAGATCTGTCTCCGAGGTGGTCCTTGCAAGCCCAAAGTCTGCGATCTTGAGGTCACAATTTGCATTTAGGAACAAATTGCTCGGCTTTAGATCGCGGTGCAATATATTTGCTGAGTGCACATATTTGAGCCCTCTTAGCAACTGATACAAGAAGTACTGCAAGGAAAAAGCGGAAACATAGAAATAAAGAATATATCATTGTTGCTAAGCAAGATACATGGTAATCAATTTCTGGATTGGGCACAAGCAACATTTATTTGGATAGTTGGATTGGAATTTATTTTGATATGACATAACTTTGGCCCAAGCTGGAGCAACAGACCTGGCAATGATCATCAGTCAATGGCTGATTTGAGCGTATGATCTGATGGAGATCTGTATCCATTAACTCAGTAACAATGTACACGTCATTAAAGTTCTCTCTAGTTGGGGGGCGTATTACATCCTTTAACGCAAGGATCTGTGACCACAAGTTAAAAATCATTATTAGACAAATTTGATCATTGGAACATCATTGCTGAGTAGAAGTTCACAACATGGTTATAACACATGCACACGGAATTTGTGAACAAATTAAACCGTCAATACTACTTTAAGCCATGTAAACAAAAGCAACGATAATCAATAGTACAAGCCTGCCAAATTAATGTCAATAGATGCGCAGCCAACCATGTGGGTATCAGCTGAACTCAGGTGCTGTTTGGTTTTAGGATTGGTAACGCAAACGTAAAGGAATCAAAGCTTTCGATGTAACGGCCACACATACGATGTGATCTGATTCCATTTCTATTTACGTTACTATTCTACGAACCGAACAGCACGTCATGGCCTTTGGATATTCTTTTTTTAACAAAGCAGAAAAGGCTCAAGTTTTTTTCTCCAAAATAAATTAAATTTGAAAAGAAAACCATACACCATCTCTAATTCAACCCCACATCTCCACTTCGCTTTATATGTCAACCATGAAAATCCAGATGATGGAATACTGTCATCCATCCTATTTATAGAAATTCTACATATGCAGAGAAACAGAAATTTGATACATTGAATAGCAACTGGATGTTGCAGTAACTGTGCTTCTTTGATAAGCAATAACAAAAAGCACTGCACGTTGCAGCTATTTTTAGCAAATTGGCATCATAGATCTTTACAGTTGAAAGGACAAGCACCAATAACAAAAAGCACTGCATGTTGCAGCTATTTTTAGTAGCACAACTGTAAAACTTGCTATGATGACAACCTAAAGAGCACACATAACAAACATAATGCCGAGAACTGGAGATTCTGGACAAACAAACGAGGACAAGCCCCAAACCCAAGTATCACAGAACCAGAATTTCCAGAAATGGCCAGAGGCACTGGTAAAAAGCATCACACATACGTACGTTCTCATGGTCCATGTGGCGCAGCAGCTTGATTTCCCTCAGCGTCCGCTTGGCGTCGATGTGGTTGTCGAACGCATTGCCAATCTTCTTGATCGCAACCTCCTCCCCTGTCTGCGAGTTGACAGCCGCGCTGAAACAAGGGAACAGCCCCCAAAACCCAAAATGTTTACAACATAAGCACATCTACGGGCTACGGCAAACAAACTTTGCTGCAGTGACTCATCTCCATAATTTTTTGCCTAATAACCCGTCACAGCCGCACCAAATCTACACGCGCAACCCCAGCGCGTAGGCAGAGCAAAGACAGCAGGTCGATTTGCCACCACCAGCGGAGCGGGGACTCGGGAAGGAGTGGGAGTGGGGAGGGGACGCACCAGACAATGCCGTAGGCGCCCCGGCCGATGGGGCGGATGGGCTGGGCGTACTTGGAGGAGACCTCGAAGAGGTTTCCGTACACGTTGTACAGCACGTAGCGGCCCCCGTGCGTCGCCATACCCTTGATCTGCGCTCCGCCACCGCCGCCGGAGGAATCCATGGTTTCTTCGTCTCCTTCCTCGCCTCTCGGGAAGGGGGTGTGGAGGAGGGAGGGGCCTAGGGTTGTGGGGCTGCTAGGGTTGGTGCTGCTTGACTAGCGTCTAGTCGTTGATGGGAGGGCGGCCTCAAGGACTGTGGTGGAAGAAGCTTCCCTCTTTTTGACTCGGGCGGCGACTGGGGAATGGGGATGGATGGATCGGGAGCGGGACGATGCAGGAGGTGGGGCGGTGTTTGGGGAAAAATTATTCTACACATTTGCATTTCCAATTTCCTACGTGGCCATCAACCTACCACATATGATCCGGTGACATGACCGTCGTCCGTGTAGCGTCGTCCGAGTGACTGAAAAACAGAAATGTCTACCCTGGCTCATAAGAAAAGGTCTGGGTCCGCTACCGCTTCTCATTGTGAACAACTGGAACCTGGCCAAGAGAACTAGAGAAGCACTCGTCACTCGTCACTCGTCAGCATGATACGGGATCAACGTCACCCGCCAGAAAGGTCAAATCTGCGAGCTTTAGGATCTTTGCGATGTGCTTAGGTCCTGTTTAGTTCCAAAAATTTTCAATCCAAAATGTCACATCGAATCTTGCGGCACATGTATGTAGTATTAAATATAGACGAAAAAAAACTAATTGCACAATTTGGTTGGAAATCACGAGACGAATCTTTTAAGCCTAATTAGTCCATGAAAAGCCTTAAGTACAACAGTAACCCACATGTGCTAATGACCGATTAATTAGTATTATTAGATTCGTCTCGTAGTTTCCTGATGGGTTCTGTAATTTATTTTTTTATTAGTATCCAAAAACTCCTCCCGACATTTTTCCGACACATCCGATGTGACACCAAAAACTCTCACCTCACCAACTAAACACCCCCTTAATTCCCAAGTAGTTTGGCAGCTTGTCAACCACATCTTGACCTTGCTAAGAGCCACACGTTTCTTCCACGGTCGATGTCAAGGCTTCAAGACGATAGCGTGTACGCATGCATCATAGGAGGATTTGTGTGAAAGCTCGTGTGGCTGAAACCCAAAGTAATCTGAAACCACGAGCTTGCCCCTTGCGTTATATAGTAGCCCAGGTCAACGTTTGGTCGTCGTACGTGCGGACTTGGAACAAGGACTGGATTTGCAGTACCGTGGTAGAAAGATTGTGTTATGGATCCACTAGAATTAAGTTACAAGGCATTGGTGCTAGGTCAATTTTACAAAGATATAATAATGAATGTCCACTATGTTTATCTTTTTTTTTTCAAAAAAGAAGACTGCCATGTTAGATAAATATTTGGGATGTTTAGGCCCCGTTCGCTTGTCTTAAATTTGGCTTGTTCGACTTATTTTTTTAATCGGACAGTGTTTTTCTCTCACAACCATTCAGCCGGAACAATAATTTTCAGCCAGTTTCAGTCAAAGTTCAAACCAGCGAACGGGGCCTTAAGGGTGACTAGGACGACAGGCGCGCCTCGCCGCGCCCGTACAGGTTTTGCTGCTGTTCACTCCATACATCCTTAGTTTTTCTATTCGTGCAAGTCGCTGTGCTAATCACTAATCAAGCATAAATTAATCTAAACAAACGCATTATAGGCTATATCAAACCCAGTAAAAAAGGTTATTTCATCAGCATCACAACACAAACAATATCTTGATTACATACATGTATCTCTTGTGGGGAAAAAATCTAAGCAAGCAAATCGGATCACAAAGAAAATGAAAAAAAAAAAGTCCTCAGAACCTCTGAACTTTGTTTGTCCTCTAAAAATCTAAAATATTGTAGGAGCAACCCAGGCTGAAACCGAAAATCTGCATAGAGGTTGAGGAAAACTAAATTGCTACAACACCATGGCACCATATATTAACAGCATCAGGTATAGTTAAGGTAACAGATTGAAAGAATTCATGCACTAAATGAGGGTTGTAGGCAAAACTCCAGAAAATATGAATGTAACATGAACCGTAGAGAGAGACCCCCAACTGATAAATTGATTATAGCTTGTCGTTTGTAATCTCTTCGTAGGCTATCCATTCTTGTACTTTTAGAGCCGCAACACATGATACACAGCATAAGAGGTAAACAACAATAAGCCTAGATGAGTATGCTGGTGGCTGGCCTAATATGAACGTACAAATTAACTTTAGAGAAAGGCATGATACTATATAGTTTAAACAGACAAATAACATCCTCGTTTGAAGGAAGGTTCAGTGGACATGAAAACCAATACATGAGACGCGGGCTGCACATGTCTACTTTCAAAGAGGATTTACCTTTTAAATAAATAATCATCAGAACATCAGTGATAGGTTTTATTCGCTGACCTATATTTGAACCAGGGCGCAAAACACATAAAGCATCTAATGAAAGCATAAATGCAAAGATATAATTTACGAATGCTATAGCCCAGGCATGCAGACTAATAAGGATAAGTGCAAAGGGAGCACAAAAGCATTGTGTAAATTGTAAGATACTCTCGGAGATGAAACTGGAGTGCATACTCTCCAGAATCAGCTAATCCACCTCAACAGAATGTGTCAGCAGACATACCACCTAATGACATCGTTTTTTCTATAAACAGAAATGGAACCATCAATGCAGGCCTGCAAATCTGGAAACAAAAAAGCAAAAAGTGCGGCTATTATATGTTTGCACCTTGCAGTAATAATTCATCTCCAAATGAGGCAATGCAGAAGATACAAACTGAAAACAAATATCTTCTAAGTACTACATAATATTATAGTCAATTACAGTCATGACTCATGAGCCATGATAAGCAAACCTAAGAAAAGGCCACTGAAAACTGAAGGATCTGAAAAAAATAGTCTTCTCCTATAACCATGTTGATATTGATATGACATAATGCAGGCAAATAAATCACAGTATAGCGAAGTAGGTAGCTAATATGCTGTTCCTGATTTATCTTGGGTAAGAGACAAAGATTAAGAACAAGTTGGGTAGAGGGAGAATAATTACCTTTTCATGTGCTGGAAGCACGAAAGGTTGTACAACCTTCATTGTCCATGATTTAGCTGAGTATATAGGTAGGCAGGCAAAGTGGATTGGACAGTGAGACCGGCAACCTGGTAATACTGGTAGGCACATAGGAAAATTGATGATGGCATCCTTTGAAAGTAGGACAAAGGTAAAATCATCAGTCAATTTCACATGCTGGTAGGTACCTCTTGGCCATGATTTCCAGGAGACTGCGCCTAGAAACCTTGTCAACAACTTTGGAATAGGTAACAGACCCCTGCTGTTGTAGCCATGATACAGAAGTCAAAAAAGGAAACGAAGAAATGGAGTAAGTGATAAACTGAGTGTATATTTTCAGGGGTTAGGGGGTTAGGAAACATGTTCGAAAAGAATCCATGTAGGAAAAGAAATATGAACATGCACAAACCCTATTGCAAGACAAAACCAAGAAACAAATTTAGCAGACCATGTTGTACCATTAATAACTAATAAGACGCCGACAACAGCAAAGATGAACCATTTCATCTGAACATTGAGAAAACCTAACGTATCATATTTTGGCAATAGGGTTGGGCTAGTTATTTCACAGTAGAGGCAATATACTAAGTGTCATGTATATATACTCAAGAGAAACTCAATATTGTCTATTACAAACTTTGACTCTCTAAAACACTTTGCTAGGAAAAAAGAGTGTGGACAATACATGGCCTCAATAATTTTGCAGATGCACCGGTAGGCATTATGTGATATCTTGAAAGTTCTGTAAACTATAGTAAAAATGAATGTAACAGGAAGGATAAAAATATTTGAAGATCAGAGTAGAAGAAATTACATGTACGTTCGATTGGGAGGACTTGACATGCTCCTTGGTCCTCAACAAACTTGCAGGTATCCTGGATACGAATAAAAACCAGGAAATGACCATAGATCATAGTAGGCACCCAAATCAGGCATACAAATTTCTGATAGAGTAGCAAGTATATAGACTGAGAGAAGTCGACGGTGGGGAAAGCTGAAGAACCGAGCAAGGCACAAACGCTTACCTTGGAAGGAAAGGAAGACGATGCAACCAGAGAAGGTTGGCCATGGAAGGGCCAAGGCGCACCGGCAATCCACCCTTGTGGGGGATATGACCCCCGGTATCCATAAGACAAGACATGGGCTGCACCATCAGAGGTGGCCCAGCCCACAAGATCAAGGCGTGCACGGCACTGGTCGACATGCACCGCAAGATATTGTATAGTACCAAATAAAATATTTTTCTTATAACCCTACCCCTCCAGAGTATATAAGGAGAGGCAGGGGTCCCCTAGTGGACATCGATCTCCATCAGATCTCATATTCAATACAATACACCAAAGACACATGACGTAAGGTATTACGTCGATCAAACGGCCCGAACCTGTCTAAACCGTTGTCTCTGCGCCTTGTGTCACCATCCGGTTCCTATCACGTGCACCTCCACCGATCAATCTATCTTCGTAGGATACCCCTCAGAGGACTGCCGAGCATCTTTTGTCGACAGTTGGCGGCCACCGTGGGGCTCGTGCGCGCTGAACCCTGGCGAACCAGATGGCGTAACTCAAGATCAACATCCTTCGCGGCAACTCGACTGATCGCGTTGACATCCTTCAATAACCACGGCACACGTCTTCGTACGCGGATTGACACCACCAAGCTCCGACTACGTCCATCCTACTCCAACACGAGATCAACTTCGTTCCAGCCATCAAGCGAGCTGCTAAGCGAGCTGCCCGCGTCACCGACCAGATAACGCCATACGCCGCCGACCAGACGTTCTGTCTAAAGCTAAGTCACGCTTTAATATTTTTCTAAATATTCTACAATCTTCGTATATCGCCATAATATTTCTCCGAGTTGTTTTCTCTATGTTTGCTATCCAAACGATTTTCTGAACCCCCGAACAGTCATGTTGACGCTCGGATGTCCCCAGAGACGGCCCTGTCTCCGGCTCCTCCTACACGTGCACGAGCGTCTGCCTCTGCGTTATGGGTGATCAACAGCGGCTCCT